GCAGCAGGAAGAGGGCACCAAGGGTGGGGAGAGGAAGGAGTCTGGGGCCCTGTGCCCGGGGATGTGCCAAGGGGCACGGCTGGACTGGAGATGCCGACGTGTCTGGCCCAAGTGCTTTTGCAGAAAAGTGTCTGTGCCTATCTAGACGCTCTTTTCCGCAAATGCTTTTAACAGAAAACTTTTCCGTTAAAAGCATTTGCGGAAAATCCTGCCAGTCTAGACGTAGCCAAGGGAACTGAGCTCTCTCTCACCCCCTCCCCGCCACATTCACTCAGGCAAAGGGTTGCAGAGGGAGCCACGGCAGAGTGACTCTGGAGGTTTGCTTCTAGCCATGGAGCTGGTCAGAACAAGGCTTCTGCCGGGGCTCTCTCCTTATATTGGAAATGGGCAGCTCCTGTCACTCACACACGGGACCTCCTGCCTCCACCTTCCTCACCAAGGAACATGCCCACATCTCCTTCAGTCCGGGTCCTTTGCTTAGGGCAGCCTTGTGTCACCGCCAGGCGCCTGGCTCCACATGGTTAGCCTTGCTGTTTCCCTCACCCCAAACACGCCCCACTCTCACACACACTGTTAGCGCAGGGGGAATGCAGCTTAGAGCAAGTTACCAGCAAAGGGGCTGAAATTTACAAAGCTTACAAAGTTGCACGGCTCAGCAATCACCAAGCTTACCGTAGGCAGGGCCGGTCCTCACCAATTGGTGGCCCCAGGCGACTGCCCGGGTCACCCGTAGGGTTGCCAGATGGTTTCCAAAAAAATACTGGACCAAAAAAAAAAAAAAAGCTGGGAAAAAATTGTCAAGCAAAAACAACAAAAAAGGGGTCGGGAGTAACCAGGGAAACCTAAGGGGGAGGATTCAGGAGGCTGGGCTGAAATTCGGTCATGGCCCACCCCTAAGGCTGGCTCTGACTGTAGGTTTCTGAACTTACAAAGCAAAGTGGCTGAGTTACAAAGTTGCAAAGCTCAACAGTCTTACAACAAGGTGCAGAATGTAAAAGGCAAGGGAGCTGAAAGTTACAGAGACAAGTACAAATCCAAAGATACCTTCCAGAGCCCAGCATCTGACTGACTTAGAAAACAACCGCCCCCCTTAAACAGTGCTCACAGCAATGCAGTCAGCAGCAAGTTTTGTCATTCTAAGTCGTGTGTCGGCAGGACCTTACACTTTAATGCATTTCCAGAAAAACTGATGTGCAAATCAAGTCATAGCTCGGGCGGAGGCTTTTATGCAACACACATTAGCTACTCTCCGGTCAGCTGGTGCAGAAGCGGATTTAAGCGATAGGTCCCATACCAGTTCGTAGGTCGGCAATTTCACATTCGAGTTCCAGCAGAACTCTTGGGCGGTACCGTCTTGTCCCGGGGACTTACTATGTAATTTATTAATTTGTTCCCAAAACTCCCCATACGACACCTTAGTCTGGGACAGTTCCTTGGATTTGTCACCTAGAAAAAG